TTCCCTCCCATGTCCCTTGTAAATAGAACCAGCCCAGCCCGTGTCCTCTTCCTTTCCTTGGCCCCCGGGTGTAAATAGATTGTTATAATTTTTTTCTTAAAGAAAACGTCGATTCACACCGTCCACCCTGGCCCCTACCCTTCCTACAGCTGTATTTCTTCTCCTGTCCTCTGCCCCCAAGGTCTCCTCCCTCCTCACCCCACCCTGGAGGGCCAGGGGAGTGAGGAGAGCTCCTGGTGTCTTAGTTTCCACAGTAAGGTTTGCCTGTGTACAGACCTCCGTTCAATAAATTATTGGCATGAAAACCTGCTTCCTGTCTGGCTGTCTTTTCACTGAGGGAAGGAGGGTTCCTAGGGAGCTTTTCTGGGAAAAGAGTATTCTATATCTCAGGCAGAGGAATGTCAGGAGACCTGAGTCCCACACTCGTTCAGATGCCCAGCCTTCTGGCATCTTAGCTTTTTCCTCTGGCTTATCCACTGCAAAGGCCTGGGAGAAGCCTGCCCCATGACCCAGCACAAATGTTTTGCTTCTGCTTATGTATCCCAGAACTGGTGAGAGAACTGGGGATGAGAGGTGGTCAAGGCCAGAGCATAAGTGGCAGTCAAGACCTGAACAAAGGACTGTCGTAGCCCAAGATGCCTGCTGCTCCTGGGTCCCGGGGAACACTGAAATTATGAGGAGTCACTTAGGCCAAAACTAACTGTACTCTTGTCAGGTGGGTATGGTGGGGGGCAGAACTCTAGAAGACCCCCAAGCCCTTATTTGTGAGTCTTTTTTTTTTGAGTTGGAGTCTCACTCAGTCACCCAGACTGGAGTGCAGTGGCCGCTCCTGGCCACCGCAGCCTCGACCTGCTGGGCTCTGGCGATCCTTCCGCCTCAGCCTTCCAAGTAGCTGGAATTACAGGCGCGCACTACCACGCCTGGCTAATTTTTTGATTTATGGTAGAGATGGAGGTCTCGCTAAGTTGCCCAGGCGGGTCTCAAACCCACGGGCTCAGGCAATCCACTCACCTTGGCTTCCCAAAGCGTGGGGTTACAGGCTGAGCCACCGAGCCCGGCCATTTGTCAGTCTTATATGGGGTACCTACCTGGTCCACCTTTTAGGCATGTTGGGAAGGGACAACCCTGAGAAGGTTGGGTCAGAGACCTTGGCTTTTTCCCTCACTTGAAACATGCTAGGGGCAGATAGTGGGGCCATGGCAGTAGAAAACGGTAGAAGTGGAAGGGGGCCTGGGGAGGAGCAACTGATAGGTCTTCCGCTGGATTCCAGTTGTGAACAAAAAGGGAGAGGAGTTTCAAATATGTCCCAGGTGGAGTTAAGGGATTGTTCCTGTGGGGCCTGGGCCTTTTTTCTCTGCTTTTATCACCTCCAGGGGCATCTTTACACTGTCCAGGACAGACCCTGTCACTTGTTCAACACCATGCAGACTTTACCGTGTTTGTAAAATGAATACACAGCAAGTAAACAGGTCTGGGGGAAGATGGCTGTTCTGGGCAAGGAGCAGCCTTGAGCTTTTGGAGATCCCTTCTTCCCTGCTGCTCACATCTGGTTGGCCAATGTGGTGACTGAGAGTGTCCCTCTCTCCCATCCCCCTAACCCTTGCCCACTAGGTCTGGCCCTGTCTTATCCTTCCTGGACATCTCCAGTTCTGACTCCCCAGCTCTGACCCCAGGGAGATCTAGTAGCTAGTTATGACCACACATTCCTCCACATCCCTGGGAACTCTTCAGTCCAGCTTTCAAGGCTGCCCCTCCTGGACAAATCCCAGCTCCAGCTGCTTTCTGATTTACCTGCCTGAACACCCTAGTCTGCAGAGGCCTGGGAGGAGCATGCCCCCTTGACCTGCTGTAAAACATCTACATTTGCATAGGGAGGGAAGGACTGTTATCCCAGGTAACCTCTGAAAAAGTTGGGAATCTCTTCCTGCTCCTAAGACCTTTGATCTTTCAAGGCCCCTTCAAATCCTAACTGCTATGACACTGGCTTACTTTTCTTCCAGTTAGAATGAATCCTCCTCTGAACTCCAAGCTCTGCACAGATTTAAGGTCTTAATCACTCAGAATAGTATCGGTTACAAAATGGACTTAAGGGATCTCCTGGGTTCAAATCTCATAATGCCTCTGCCTAGTTGCGAGACTTTGGACAAGTCTCTGGCCATAGGTTTTCTTTTTTTTCTGAGTCGGAATCTCACTCTGTCACCCAGGTTAGAATGCAGTGGCATGCTCATGGCCACCACCTATTGGGCTCAGGGGATCCTTCTGCCTCAGCCTCCCAAGTAGCTGGAACTACAGGTATGTGCCACCATGTCCAGCTAATTTTTTTATTTATTGTGGAGTCAAGGTCTTGCCAAGTTGCCCAGGTTGGTCTCGAACCCCTGGACTCAATCCTCTCACCCCTGCCTTCTAAGTACTGAGATTACAGGCGTGAGCCACCATGCCCGGCCTTAGCTTTTTCATCTATACAACAGGAATAATATTGAGATCTATGTCATAGGCCTGTAGGGATGATAGTTCATTATACAGTGATAAGGGTGGCGTCTGCCTTGGCTAGGCAATCAGATGTTCACTATTTTTTTTTTTTGAGTTGGAGTCTCACTCTGTCGCCCAGACTGGAGTGCAGTGGCCGCTCCCAGCCACCGCAGCCTCAACCTGCTGGGCTCCGGTTATCCTTCTGCCTCAGCCTTCCAAGTAGCTGGAACTACAGGTGCGCGCTACCGCGCCCAGCTAATTTTTGACTTATTGTAAAGATGAGGTCTCCCCAAGTTGCCCAGGCGGGTCTCGAACCCACGGGCTTAGGCAATCCACTCACCTCAGCCTCCCAAAGGCGCGGGATTACAGGCTGAGCCACCAGCCCGGCTAGATGTTCACTATTACTGTGAATAACTGGATGGTCTCCAAATACACCGAGTTCACCCTCTTCTTACAGTGCTGTGTCTGGAATGGTCTCCTCTTCCTCCAGTAGCAGATTTCTACCTTTTCTCCGGGTACTACCTCCTCTAGGAAGTCTCTGACTCCTATCTCCCACCATGGAGGTTTGTTCCCTGCTCTAGGATCCCACTGTCCCTGTACATGCCCATTACAGCCCTGAGAATCAGGCTTATCTCATCCCTAACCCCAGCATCGCCTGGTATGTGTGAGGGAGGCCTTAGGACACACAGCCTGAATGAATCAGTAAGACACACTCAGAGAGCAAGCCATCTGTACTTGTGTGTTCCTCCTACCAGACAGTGCATGCCTCCTGAGGGCAGAGCCCACATTTAACTCATTCCTGGGTCTTCAGCATCACCCAGTCTGAAGTTGAGTACCTGGGTACCTATAGATCTCCTTCCACATTGTCGAAACTGAGATGAAAGAAGCCCAGAGAAGTGCCTTCCACCACCAGGCAGAGCCAATTCCTGGGTGTCCAAAATCCAGGGAAGACTAGGGCTGGGGGGCTAAGCAGAGGATCCGAAGAGGTATATGAGAGTGCCCAGCACAAACCTGGCACATGGCCGGTGCTCAGTAAAGGTTACCTGATGATGCTGGGCACCAGGGTGATGCAGTGCAAAGAGCCTTGGCAAACCCCACTTTGCAGCGCAGCAGAGTGACCTGGTATAGATCACATGCCATCTCAGAGCTTCAGTTTCCCCTCAGGCAGTGAAAGATGGCAGGGTTGTTCTGAGGAGTCAGTGGGTGAAAGAGGCCAGGGTAGATCCTGGCACATGGTGGGTGCCAGATCAGCTTTCCAGAGGGTGGTCCTCTCTCTTCCCAGAGGTACTCACACTTGCTGTTGTAGCCAAACCCTTTCATTGTGCTCTTCAGCTGTGTCACACAAAGGCTGTGTCCAACTGCAACAGCCCACTTGCTTCACTGGCCCCCAGTGCAGCCTGGCACAGCTGCAATGTGTCCTCAAGTGCTAGTGGCTGGGATGTCTCAATGATGGCGATGGTCTCCCCCAGCTCTGTGCACATGATAGTCTGCTGAGGCTCGGGGGGTGGGGGCGGGGCAGGAGGTGGTGATCTTGGAGGCTGCAGTGTCATAGTCCGGGCTCGGGCATGGACCCGCTGATGCAGTCGCAGGCCCGCCATGGCGCGGAACCAGCGGCCACAGGTACCACAATAGTAGGGGCTCTTGTTGTAGAGGCCAGTGATGGGGAGGCGAGGGGCACGGGCAAAGGCGACCGGCCGCAGGTGCAACCGCCGGTGCTGCTGCAGGTTGGAGCTCTGCGTGAAGCGCTTGCCACAGTCCAGGCATTGGTAGGGACGTGCACCCGTGTGGGTCAGCTGGTGGCGGCTGAGGTTGGCCAAAGAAGCAAAGGTCTTGCCACATGAATGGCACTGGAAGGGCCTCTCACCTGTGTGCGTCCGCAGGTGGTTGCGCACATGGATCAGCTTCTTGAAGCCCTTGCCACAAACCCCCACAGCGGTGCCGCCGTTCGGGGGGGCCGTGTACTGCACGCCGGTGCCGCGACAGCCGGGAAGCTGAGGCAAAGGACTTGGAGCACTGTGGGCAGGGCAGCTGGGCAGGTGGAGCAGGGGGAGGGGGCTGGGGTGCGGGCTCGGCTGGAGCTGGGGAGGCTGTCGCCGTCGTAGGAGGAGCTCCACTTTTGCCAGCATGAGTGCGCCGGTGGTAGAGGAACTTGGTCATATTGCTAAATGTCTTGCCGCAGCGACAGCGATGCAATGGGTTGGCAGTGTGGGCCCGCCGGTGGGCCACCAACGTGAGTTCTGTGCCAAAGCCACGGCCACAGTCTACACAGAGGTAGCGGGCTTCACCACGATGTAGCCGTAGGTGCTGCTCCAGCGAGGCTGCTTTCTTGAAGACCTTGGAGCAAGTCGTACACTCGTGTGTGCCACCTACATGGGCCCGCCCGTGAGCCAGCAGCCGGTTCGCTGAGCTGAAGCTGCGCTGACACTGGCTACAGTGGAAGGGGTGGGCTGCTGATGTTGGGCCATGAGACACCCGCCGGTGTCGCCGTCGTGCCCCTGCTGAAGTCTGGTGCTGGGGACAATCCTCACAGCCCTGGGACCAGCCAGCTGTGGACTTGTCATCTCTCACATCATCATCAGCCTCCTCATCATCCTCTGTCTCTTCATCATCATCTTCATCCTCATCTTCCTCCTCCTCCTCTAGCCCATTGTGCTCTTCTTTCTCTAGGGAGTCAAAGTGGGCACCCTGATGCTCCAAGAACTCCTCAGGGGTGGCACAGAGGGCAGAACACTCAGGACACTCATAAGGCTCCATCTTGACTTCAGGTGGTGGAGGGGGTGGAGGCAGTGGTATTGGGGGAGTCAAAGGAGGTGGCACCAGTGGCTCGGCTGCTGTAGCAGAAAGGTGGTGGGCTTTGCGATGAGCCACCCACAGCTCAGGTGAGGGGAACAGCTCCTGGCAGTCCCAACACTGGTACTGGATCTGGCTTGCAGACTCCCGGAGATGGGCATCCTGGTGGGCCAGGAGGTCGCTGGGGGAAAGGATGAGCTGGCTGCATTCACCACACTGGAAGGGCCCCTCCTCAGTGCCTGGTACTAGCTCTGGCTCCAGGCTGCCACTCTGGGTGGTCAGCGCCTCCTCCTCTGACACGGCGAACATATGTTGTTCCTGGTGTGAGAGGACTTCCTCCAGTGTGTTATAGAGGCTGCCACACTCCGAGCACATAAACTGGTGGTGCTGGAAGAAGAGGGACGAGGCAAGGGCCTCTCCGGGTGCCATCTCGGTCATCTCTGTTGACATCTCTGTCAGCTCTGCTGACATGGGTGTTACCTCCACTGTCCCTGGTGACATCTGTGTTGGCATCTCAGCCACCTCAGCCACCACGTCTGCCATTGTGGGGAAGCCAGTGCCTGGAGAAAGAGGGGCAGGAGCCAGTGAGACACCAGGGACCCTAGGGGACGGTAGAGAGAGGTCTCAGGAGTTTCCTAGCCCACTCCATTACTCACCAACCTCTATTAATCAAGTCTTAGCCTAACATTTATGCCTCGGTCTTCAATGATCTTGTGTCTCTGAAGCCTCCACATACCCCATGGCAGTCATGCATCTGCAGGAGAGACAGCACTCCTCAGCCTGGCCTCTGACACTGTCCTTTCTTTTTTTTTTTTGAGTTGGAGTCTCACTCTGTCGCCCAGACTGGAGTGCAGTGGCCCCTCCCGGCCACTGCAGCCTCGATCTGTTGGGCTCCGGTGATCCTTCCGCCTCAGCCTTCCAAGCAGTCGGAACTACAGGCGTGCGCTACCACGCCCGGCTAATTTTTGATTTATTGTAGAGATGAGGTCTCGCCGAGTTGTCCATGCGGGTCTTGAACCCGCGGGTTCAGGCAATCCACTCACCTCAGCCTCCCAAAGCACGGGATTACAGGCTGAGCCACCGAGCCCAGCGACATTGCGGTTTCTTTTCTTTCTTTTTTTTTTTTTTTTGAGTTGGAGTCTCAGTCTGCCATCTGGGTTGAAGTACAGTGGCATGCTCACAGCCACCACAGCCTCGACCTGCTAGGCTCAGGCAATCCTTCCACCTCAGCCTTCCAACTAGCTGGAACTACAGGTGTATGCTATCACACCCAGCTAATTTTTTTGATTTATTGTGGAGACAAAGTCTCGCCAAGTTGCCCAGGCTGGTCTCGAACCCCTGAGCTCAGGCAGTCTTCTCACCTCAGCCTCCCAAAGTGCTAGGATCACAGGCTTGAGCCACCATGCCCAGCACCGCCCTCTTCACTCAGAGGGCCAGTCATATCCTTTCTGAGAAGGCAACAGCCTTCGCCTGCTGTGTAGTTTCCTCTTTATGCAATATCTTTCCTCCTCTTACACATATACCACAGGGGTTAAGAACACAGGTTCTGGAACCAGATTGCCCTTGGCTTGAATCTGAGCTCCACCACTTCCTCTCTGTTTTCTCACCTGTAAATTGGGGTTAAAAGTATACTGCCACAAAGTCCCCGGCACTTAATAAAGTCATAACCCTTATGTAGGTCTCCCAAAAGGTTGTTTTTCGACCCTTAGTCTTTGATGCTGCTATTCTCCCATATTCTACCAGAAAAGTTCTCTCCTCTTTTTGCTTGACAAACTCCTAACCAGCACCTCTTTTGTGAAGCCTTCTCTAACAACATCTCTCTTGGTGGGGTGGGGGTGGGGGTCACTTGCTTCTTCTCAGGGTTCCTATTGTACCCTGTACTACCTTTATCATAGGAAATATTACGAGCTTGAGATGACATCTCTGTATCTCTGTGCTCCTCACTGGAGTGAGACCTTGTAGGTCTGATTCATTGTTTGGGTCCCAGTCACTAACAAAAGCACTGGGCAGGAATTTTAACTTTTTTTTTTTTTTAGTAGGAGTCTCACGCTGCCGCCCAGGCTGGAGTGCAGTGGTACACTCATGGCCGCCACAGCCTTGACCTGATAGGCTCAGATGATCTTTCCGCCTCAGTTTTCCAAGTAGCTAGAATCACAGGCGCACACTATCACGCCAGGCTAATTTTTTTTTTTTTTTTGAGTCAGAGTCTCATTCTGTGTTCAGGCTGGAATGCAGTGGCATGCTCATGGCCACCACAGCCTCGACCTGCTGGGCTCAGGTGATCCTTCCGCCTCAGCATTCCAAGTAGCTGGGACCACAGACACATGCCACCACACCCAGCTAATTTTTTGATTACTGTAGAGACGAGGTCTCACCAAGTTGCCCAGGCTGGTCTTGAACCCTTGGACTCAGGCAATCCTCTCACCTCTGATTCCCAAAGTGATGGGATTATAGGCGTGAGCCACCATGCCTTTTTTTTTTAAAGAGTGTCTCGGCCAGGCACAGTGGCTCACGCTTATAACCCCAACACTTGGGATACTGAGGCGGGAGGATTGCCTGAGACCAGGCAACATGGCAAAACCTTGTCTCTACAAAAAAATAAATAAAATCGAGCCACCTCCAAGCTGCTCGAGAGGTTGAAGAGAGAGGACTGCTTGAGCCTGCAGTGAACTATGATTATATGCTACTGTACTCCAATCTGGGTGACAGAGTGAAACCTCGACTTTAAAAAGTTGTGTGTGTGTGTGTGTGTGTGTGTGTGTGTTTTTAGAGATATGGTCTTGCTGCTTGGGCTGGTCTTGAACTCTTGGTCTCAAGCGATCCTCCCACCTCACCCTCCTAAAACACTGGGATTATAGGCTTGAGCCACTGTGCCCAGTCTAGAATTTCTTTTTCTTTTTGTGACAGGATCTTACTCTGTCGTCCAGGCTGGAGTGCAGTGGCATGCTCAATGTTACCGCAGCCTCAGCTTCCTGGGCTCAGGCGATTCTTCTGTGTCAGCCTTCTGAGTAGCTGGGAATACAGGCGTGTGCCACCGTGGCTGGTTAGTTTTTTGTATTTTTTGTAGAGATGGGGGTCTCACTGTGTTGCCCAGGCTGGTCTTGAACTCCTGAGCTCAAGTAATTCTCCCACCTTGGCCTCTCAAAGTGCTGGGATTACAGGTATGAGCCACTATGCTCAGCCCAGAATTACAACTTTTAAACTTCCCTCTATATAGGCCGGGCATGGCGGCTCACACATGTAATCCCAATATTTTGGGAGGCAAAGGCGAGAGGATTGCCTGAGTCCAGGAGTCCAAAACCAGCCTGGGCAACTTGGAGACCTTATCTCTACAATAAATCAAAAAATTAGCTGGGGGGGGGTGGTTTGCGCCTGTAGTACTTGGAAAGTTGAGACGGAAGGATTGCCTGAGCCCCAGTGGACTGAGGCTGTGATGACCATGACCATGCCACTGTACCATCCAGGCTGGGTGACAGAGTGACTCCAACTCAAAAAAATAAACAAACTTCCCTCTGTGTGCTCCATCTCCCCTTCTATTTATGTGGGTTCAACCCACCCAAGGCCCCTTTACACAGCAGGGGTTTAGAGTCCATTCAGCAAATGACTGTCCCTTTCCTGGCCTAGCAGCTAATATTGTAAATTCAATCCCTACCTTCTTTATCTCTTCTTCACCTCAGCTGTTAGTATCAGAGGACAGGTGGAGTTTGACTTACAGCCCTGCATACAAAGGTTGCTTGTATTAAGCTCTCAGAGGATGAGATTTTAGCCTGTTCATCATTTGAGGTTATTTCCAGTGCCCAGAACACTGCCTACCACATTTTGGCACTCAGTAGACTTTTCGTGACTAAATAATGCTCCCTCTGAAAGAGCCCCTGGGAATTTAATTGTGCATATTCCATTTCTGCCACACCAACTTCCCCATTAAGAACATTAAAACTGGCTGGGTCCAGTGGCTTAGCCTGTAATCCCAGCACTTTGGGAGGCCGAGGTGAGTGGATTGCCTGAGTCTGCAGGTTCGAGACCAGTCCCGGCAACTTGGCGAGACCTTGTCTCTACAGTAAAACAAAAATTAGCCAGGGATGGTAGTGTGCACCTGTAGTTCCAGCTACTTGGAAGGCTGAGGCGGAAGGACCGCTGAGGAACCCAGCAGGTCAATGCTGGGGTGGCCATGAGCATGCCACTGCATTCCAGCCTAGGCAAAAAAGTGAGACTTCAACTCAGAAAAAAAAGAAACTGTTAATTCAGCCGGGCTCAGAGGCTCAGCCTGTAATCCTGCGCTTTGGGAGGCCGAGGTGAGTGGATTGCCTGAGCCCGCAGGTTCGAGACCTGCCTGGGCAACTTGGTGAGACCTCATCTCTACAGTAAATTAAAAAATTAGTCGGGCGTGGTGGCGTGTGCCTGTAATTCCGGCTACTTGGAAGGCTGAGGTGGAAGGATCGCTGGAGCCCAGCAGGTCGAGGCTGCAGTGGCTGAGAGCGGCCACTGCAGTCCAGTCTGGGTGACAGAGTGAGACTCCAACTCAAAAAACAAACAAAAAAACTGTAAGCCAGATTCGGTGGCTCAGCCTGTAATCCCGCGCCTTTGGGAGGTTGAGGTGAGTGGATTGCCTGAGCCCGCGTGTTCGAGACCCACCTGGGCAACTTGGCAAGACCTTATCTCTACAATAAATCAAAAATTAGCTGGGTGTGGTAGCGCGTCTGTAGTTCCAGCTACTTGGAAGGCTGAGGCGGAAGGATCGCCGGAGCCCAGCAGGTCGAGGCTGCGGTGGCTGGGAGCGGCCACTGCACTCCAGTCTGGGCGGCGGAGTGAGACTCCAACTCAAAAAAAAAAACCAAAAAAAACACCTGTGAATTCCCAAAACACACAGTCCAGTATAGAGTTCTGCTTTCAGTTGGTGCCCAATAAATGCTCAAGTAAAAATGATTCTCTAAAAGCATAGGAACTAAACTTTTCTTACCTGCTATTCCAACCCCCTCACTAATTTTTGAGTTGCTAAGGCCCTGCATACAACAGCCATTCCATAAAAGATTTTGCTAGTAGTTCCATTTTTCCTAGTTTACAGCCCCACTCCCGTCAGAGAACTCCCCGGGGGTTAGGCCCAGTGCCTGCGACAAAGCCTGCACAAAGTAGGCACCCAACAAATGTCTATCTAGAAGGTGGCCCAGGAGACCCAAAATTTGCATTTTCCTCGTCTACATTCCCCTCTCCCAATCTTGGATTGTTAACTACTGGGGGAACGAGTGAAGGTTTTTCATACAGTGGATCAAAAAGTCCTTCCACGAATAAACCCACCAGGGGCCTGGAAGTTCAACTTTCCAGCTACACAACCCTTTTCTCCTACCAGACTTAGCTCGGCAGCCTGAGAGCTCCCTGCAGGGGGGCGCGCTCGAGGGTAGGGTGCGGCACTCTGCAGGAGCTCAACCAACGCTCCAGGGCACACAGGAAGGCGCGCACTCCTTCCATCCCTGGCCGCTCCCGCCCTAGCGCAGGCCCCAAGGCGCTTCGACCCCAGGTGGCCCTTCGTTTGTCCCTCTGCCCTCTCCATACGCCCAGCGCTCTCGTCCCCCGCCCACCCCGCGGCGCCCTCACCCGTTTCTCTTATCTCCTGCAGCCCCTGCCGCTCTTGACACAGACCCCCGGCTCCAGGCGTGCGGGACCCCTCACTATTCACACCTCCCATTGGGCGGCGCCCTTACCCATGACGACCAATCAGAGCCTGTAGCGCAGGGCACGCGACCTTGCGCCTGCGTGTTGTCGTCCAGGCGTGGCTCCGTGAGTTCTCCACGCACACATCTGCGCCCTTTGGGCGGGGCTGGGGGCGAGGAGAGGCGCCTGCGCAGTTTCACTGGGCCGCTCCTTTTTGATAGACGTCTGGAAGTTCATTTAGAAGTGGGCACCCTTGGAGAGCGTGAGCCCATGGAGTGGACTGAGTGGCGAGAGACCTTGACAGATGTCACCTCATAGCTGAAGGGATTGGATATCTCTGAGCACAGTTTTGGAGCCAGACATTTGGGGTACTTTTCTCCGGGCCTCAGTTTGACTGGTGTAAAGTGGGCTTGAGTCACATCCACCTCAAAGGTACTTGAGGGGAGCGGATGATATCACACACTGTATGTGTGTGTGTGTGTGTGTGTGTGTGTGTGTGTGTAATATCACCCAATCACCTTATGTAGAAGCGCTCGGCACAGGGCCTGATACATTGTGGATGCCCACTGTAACCCATCTAACAAGGATATCATCCTTCACAATTTGTAAAATTGCTTTCCAATCCCTCCCACTCTGTGTTTGATTTTTTGTTGTTGTTGAGTCGGAGTCTCACTCTGTCGCCCAGGCTGGAGTGCAGTGGCACACTCACGGCCACCACAGCCTTGACCTGCTGGGCTCAGGTGATCCTTCCGCCTCAGCCTTCTAGGTATCTGGAACTACAGGTGTGCGCCACCACGCCTGGCTAATTTTTTTTATTTATTTTAGAGACGAGGTCTCGCCAAATTGCCCAGGCTGGTCTTGAACCCCTGGACTCAGACAATCCTGTCACTTCAGCCTCCCAATTCAGCCTCCCAAAGTGTTGGGATTACAGGCGTGAGCCACCGCACCTGGCTTGTGTTTGATTTAATGATAGCCACTTACCAGGTGCCCACTGTGTGTCCGGCCCAGGACTATGCTTCCGTAGATGACGGTTGCTATACGTTTCACAGGTGGGGAACTGAGGTCCGAAGAAGGCAAGGAAGTCTTCTGAGGTCATTGATGCAGGCCAAGCAGAGCCAGTACTGGGCCAGTGCCAGACAGGACCCAGGTCTCCCGCCTCCCACGGGACACAATTCAGGGGTGGGAACTGGTCCGTGGAGGAACCTGTCTTGAGCACGTGTAGGCCTGACCTTGAGTCACCTAAGTGGGGGGCGGGGCAGCCGTCACACCCAAGGCGAGGGAACGCGCAGACACCGCAGCCTCAATGCTCTTCCCGACTGACCCGCTCTAGTTGGTGCAGGTTAGGGCGGGGTATCTGAGCAGCTCCGTGATCCAGGAGTGCAGAGATTGGAAGGACTGTTCTGGCCCTGGGTTGGGATGTCTGTGATGTGCGGTCGTGATAGACGCCATCGGGATGGAGGGATCTACTGCGATTTGAAAGGAGGTATTGGTCTTGAACATGAGATGAGGGAATCCTGGTTTCGATCAGGGAGGGAACTTATAGATGGGGGGCTTCCGATTGGGATCCTGAGATAGAAAGTTAAGATGTAGGTTCCCGATTGCTACTAGAAGTGAGAGACAATCTAATGGAGGAGTGCGCAAGTCTCCATCATAAGAGGCCTAGGCGCTACTGGGACCTGAAAATGTCGTGACTGTCGTCCTTTATCACAGGCAAGTGGGGGCAGTGGTAATATGGCCGTCTAGGTGGTGATCAAGAGGGGGTTGTAGTTTCAACAGGTCGTGACGTGGGGCTACATGGACCCGGTATCTTAAGTCATGGTCAGGAAGTAGGAGGTGGAAGCCGGGTACCAGATCTAGTGCCAGATGCAGCGCCACAGTCACCCTGCGCATGCGCATCACTGACAAGCCTGATGCTTGGGTTGGGGCGGGTCAGGCGGCCCGGGAAGGGAGGGGCTTGAAGGCCTCATTCTGCGCTTGCGCTTAAGGGGCGTGGCGGTCGCACCTGCGCGAGTTGGGAGGAGGAGGGGCGAGGTGACGCAGGCGTAATAATAGAGAAGGTGCCAGAAAGATCCAAAACAAGTGGCTGCGGCCGTCGCCCAGGAGTCGTCGGACGCCGGAATCCGGTGAGGATCCCGAGAGACCTAATGGCGGCTGGTGGCTGGTAGACGGAACCAACTGGGCGCTGGGGTGAGGGTGGGACCGCTCTCCCCAAGCGAGGGGTCGGATTCGGACGGTGCCACCTGTGTGGAGCAGAGGGCTGCCTTGGTCGATCCTACTTGTAGGGGGCAAAGGGTCACTTTCGGGTGGTACCAGTTGGGTGGAGCCATGGGGCGAATCGGATGATACTAGTGGACGGAGCCAAGGGACACGTCCTGCTTGTACTACCCAGACTCAAAGAGCAGTTGGCAGGGGGCCCCGGGTTGGGGCCCCGAGGCTCGCTTGGGCCGAATCACTTGGTCGGGTCCGGAGGCTAGTTCGGAACGTACCACTTGGGGAGGGGCGTTCAGGCCTAGCAGGCCCGGCCGGTCGGAGGACGAGCTGGGTTTGGCGTCTCGACCTGTTACTAGGGGACCTCGAGCGATACTATCCGTTGGGGGGTGGGGGAAACTGAGTCGGTTCGGGTGTGGGAGTGGCCCTCGGGGGCGCGACTGGGCGGGAGAGGTGCACTGGCCGTGTGCCGTTCCGGCTCCCGCGTCGCTGACCACTGTCCCCTCCCTGCTGTATGGGTTCTAGGCCCTGGTTCTGAGTTCGTGCCGCCTCTCTTCCCCCGGGAATGGCGCTGTCTGGGTCGACCCCGGCCCCGTGCTGGGAGGAGGATGAGTGTCTGGACTACTATGGGATGCTGTCGCTTCACCGTATGTTCGAGGTGGTGGGCGGGCAACTGACCGAGTGTGAGTTGGAGCTCCTGGCTTTCCTGCTGGACGAGGCTCCTGGCGCCGCCGGCGGCCTGGCCCGAGCTCGCAGCGGCCTGGAGCTGCTCTTGGAGCTGGAGCGCCGCGGGCAGTGCGACGAGAGCAACCTGCGGTTGCTGGGGCAACTCCTGCGCGTGCTGTCCCGTCATGACCTGCTGCAACATCTGGCGCGCAAGCGGCGCCGGCCAGGTATGGTTGAATGGGCGGTGTCTGACTTCCGGTGAAGAGAGGGCCTGGCCCCTCAGACCGCCTGTGTCCCCCATTCCACTCCCTCCTCTTCCCAGAGTATCAATAAGAAACACAAGCGGGAGGAGGCATGCCTTTGGGAGGGGTGAGCTTATGGAATTGGCCTCATCGTTAATGATTAGTGCTTGTTTTGTTCCAGACACAGCTGTAGGCCCTTCATACTGTCTCCTTATGTTGTCCCGGTAATCCCATGAGGAAGTGTTGTTACTGTCTCCACTGTATAGGGAACATAATAGTTTCAGAGAAGTTAAGCAGCTTGCCCACCTACAAGGACTGAACCTTGTATGCCAGACATTTACCCACAAAGTGATGGGGCTGACAAGATAGTTTGTTCCACGAAACTTATGTTTAGTGGGTCAGGCAAAACAAACAACTAACTTGTTTTTAGATATGTTCATAGGAAAACTAAAAGTAATGGAGAGAGTAGGGAGGGCAGCAAAATGAAGGGAGGCTGCCTTAGATTGGATAACTAGTGAAGACCTTTCTAAGAAGATGACATTTGAACTGGGGCTGCACTGCCAGCCATGCATAGATCCAGGGGAGAAAATTCCAGGCAGCATTCAAGGCCTGAGGTGTGAATGAGCTTGGCATCATCAGAGGCCAGTGTGGCAGGAGCAGAGTGGACCCAAGCAATGGCAGAGAGGTAGGCAAGAAGCCACATCACAAAGGGACTTACAGATAACATAGCAAGAAAGTGTGGAAGCCAAGATTCCAAGCTAGCTTGCTTGTCTCCAAAGTTAATCTTTGTGAAGGAAGTGCTCCTGGAGGCTGGCAGTGAGGAGCTGGGAGAATTTCAGGCTGCCAGGAGCTCTGTACATGCATAGGCTTGTTGAGCCCTTGGCTGGGTTATTAGAAGTACAGTGACTAGTTTGGGGAGGGAGGATTATGGGCTTCTCTGGCCTAGAGGAAGCCCCATGAGAATTGGCTAACCAGGGGGACAACTCTAGGGAAGGACTGACAATGGTTCTGGAAAAATATGTCTGAGAGTCAGGATCTAGAAGAGAAGATTTAGAGAGCCTGCAGAGAGGTCTGCTTATTCCTTGGGACTTCAGGGAGAGCTGGGGGCAATTGATGTGGGGAGCATGGGGCCATTGCAGAGATCCTGACCATGACTTCCTACCTAGTAACCTAATAACACTGACAGTTTTATCTGCTGTCAACATTAGTCAGGTGGCCTTGAGAGGTAATGAATCTTCTGTCTCAGGAGGCATCTGAGCCACCTCTAGGCAGAAAGTATTTGAGGAGTGGGTGTTTGGGCATTCTTCTAGGTGAGGGATTTGGGAGCAGGAGGCTAAATGCTTCTTCCTTTTCCTCTCGTCCTCCAGTGTCTCCAGAACGCTATAGCTATGGCACCTCCAGCTCTTCAAAGAGAACAGAGGGCAGCTGCCGTCGCCGTCGGCAGTCAAGCAGTTCTTCAAATTCTCAGCAGGGTCAGTGGGAGACAGGTGAGCCCAGCAGGGTGGCATGATGGCAGTGTCCCCCTCTTCTTTCTGAACCTGGATGAACTTCCTGCATCTTCAGCCATCAGAGAAGGGGCCTGAGCAGTCATTGTGTGGTGTGTTTTCATTGCTACAGAAGCACTGTTCTGAAGCAACATAGAAATGTTGCACACGGTTTCATATTTCATTTAAATGACATCACTTTGTGGGTATCATTCTGCACCTGGCTGTCTTTGCCAGACATGTTTCTGAGATTTATTCATGTTCAGTACTTCTGATTGGTTTCTTTTAATTGCCATACCCTAATTTTTTCAGTCTCTCCCCACAAGTTGTTTTTGTTTATTTGTTTTTTGAGTTGGAGTCTCACTCTGTCGTCCAGGCTGGAGTGCAGTGGCACACTCAACGGCCACCGCAGCCTCATCCTGCTGGGCTCAGGTGATCCTTCCATCTCAGCCTTCCAAGTAGCTGGAACTACAGGCATGCACCACCAGGCCCAGCTGATTTTTCTTGATTTATTGTAGAGATGAGCTCTTGCCAAGTTGCCTAGGCTGGTCTTGAACCTGTGGGCTCAGGTAGTCCTCTCATCTTAGCCTCCCAAAGTGGTGGGATTATAGGTGTGAGCCACTAGGCCAGGCCCCCACTAGTATTTTTTTTTTTTGAAAACAGGATTTATTGAGAGGATAGGAAAGTTCCCACAGTGGAAGGGGACCCGAGGGGGTTGCCCAGTTTTTTAATTACATAAAATTTCAAACAGAAAAGTTGAAAGTTTAGTACAGTGACTATCTTCTACTTAGATTAACTAAACATTTTGCCACTTTTACTTGGTGTGTATGTGTATATGTAATTCTGGGTTTTTTGTTGAAATGTTTGGAAGTAAAAGATATCAGGATACTTTATTCCTAAATTAGGGGTCTATAGAGGATAAGGATATTCTCTTATGTCACTTTTAAGACCATTATCATACCTAAGAAAATAGACACTAATTCTCTGATATCCTAATGCTTCATTTTTGAATATCCCCAAGATTGTCTCTACATTCAGAATCCATTCATAGAGTTGTTATGTATTCAGTTGCTATGACTCCTTAATTTTTTTTTTTTTTTTTGAGTTGGAGTCTCACTCTGTCGCCCAGACTGGAGTGCAGTGGCCACTCCCGGCCACCACAGCCTTGACCTGCTGGGCTCCGATGATCCTTTCACCTCAGCCTTCCAAGTAGCTGGAACTACAGGCGTGTGCTACCATGCCCGGCTAATTTTTTGATTTATTGTAGAGATGAGGTCTCACCAAGTTGCCCAGGTGGATCTTGAACCCGCGGGCTCAGGCAATCCACTCACCTCGGACTCCCAAAGCGCAGGATTACAGGCTGAGCCACTGAGCCCAGCCGACTTCTTAATTTCTTACCATAGAACAGAAATGCTTCCACCACCCCGTACCTTTTTCTTTTTTCCCATGACATTCACTTATTACTCTACCATGCCAGTTGTTTTGTAGAATGCCCTGTATAATTTTCTCCTGATGGAGTCATTTAATCTGTCTCTCCTTCTATATTTCCTGTTAAGTGGGAATTCTGTCTGCAGACTTGGTAGATTCTGATTACACATTTTGGTTGATGCTTTCTATTTCCTATTGGAGCACATCACAAGGCACATAAGGTCTGGTTTTCCCTCAGTGAGTGGGAAAGTTTGATCACTTTGTTGGGGTGATGTCTGCCATGTTTAACCATTGTAAAGGGACTTTTAGTTCCCATTACAGTTAGTAAACAATCTATGGGATGATACCTTGGCACATCCTGTTCCCCAATTGGCATTCACTCAGTGAGTTTAGCATTTGTTGGTGAGCCCTGCCTGAACCAATTATCACACTGATGTTTGCAAGATGGTGATTTTCTAATTATTTTCTCTCTATCTCTGTTAGCTGGAATTCTTTCAAGAGCTGCTACCCCACACCTTATTAAGTATGACTGTAGACTCAAACATTATTGTTTGTTTATTTACTTTGTTATACTCAATTAGTCATTCTTCCTAAGCTTCAAATTGGTTAGCATCTGTGTCTTTTTTTTTTTTTTTTTTTTTTTTTGAATTGGAGTCTCACTCTGTCACCCAAACTGGAGTGCAGTGGCCACTCCCAGCCACTGCAGCCTCGACCTGCTGGGCTCCGGCAATCCTTCCGCCTCAGCCTTCAAAGTAGCTGGAACTACAGGTGTGGGCTACCATGCCCGGCTAGTTTTTGATTTATTGTAGAGATGAGGTCTCATCAGGTTGCCCAGGCGGGTCTCGAACCCGCGGGCTCGGGCAATCCACTCACCTTGGCCTCCCAAAGTGCTGGGATTACAGGCTGAGCCACTGAGCCTGGCCATCTGTGTCTTTCTGTTGTGTCTCCATCATTCTTTGCTTGCTCCCTGCTCTGTGGCATAGCAAGATGACCTGGGCTCAATTTGAACTTTCCTTTTCCCAACCCTAGAATCAGCAGTTTTTCAAGAGGGCCATGCTCTGCTGTTTGGAGACTAAGAGCTGGTTGCTGAGTGTGTGTATCATTTTTAGGCCCTTTCAGTGGACAGAACTAGAGATGTTTTAAAAAGTTTCTGTTTGTATTTTTAATTTAACATTACAAAGACTTTTTTACACTGAAAGTTTTGGCTTCTAATAACATTGAGATGTAGATTTGTTGGCTTTATTTTACAATTATAAAATAGTGGCCAGGTGAGGTGGCTCACTCCTGTATTGCAGAGCTTTGGGAGACTGAGCCTGGAGGATCACTTGAGGCCAAGAGTTCAAGACCAGCCTGGGCAACATAGTGAGACTCTCTCTCTACAAAAAATTTTTTTAAAATTAGCCTGTAGTTCCAGCTACTGAGGAGGGAGGATTACTTGAGCCTAGGAGTTCAAGAGTTCAAGGCTGCACAGAGCTATGATTGCATCACTGTATTCCAGCCTAGGGGACAGATCGAAACCTTGTCTCAGGAAAAAAACACAAACACACACACATGCACATGTATGTAATAAAACAACAAAGTTAATACCACAACTGACTGTACCCACTGAATGAAACATAAGATTTATTTGTTGTTCTTTGTATACTCTGAGCATATCCCACTGAGCGTTTATAGTCAGGATGTTTTTCCAAGTTACTAGAAATAATTCTTTTCTCTGAATATTTATGTTACCAATTGTATATAGAGTTAGATTCATTTGTTTCTATTGTGTTAAATTTTACGACTTTTTTTTTTAACTTTTTTGCGTAAAACAGTTACATGACTCAAAAGTCAAAAATAAAGTATGAAGAAAGGTGTTCTTAGACATGTCATTTCTACCATTGCCGCCAACCCTTAAGTAGACAGGTAATCAATTTCATTCATTCGTTTCTTTTTTTTGGAGTCTTACTCTGTTGCCCTGGTTGGAGTGTAGTGGGACAATGATGGTTTGCCACAGCCTTGACCTCCTGGGTTCAGGCGATCCTACCTCAGCTTCCCAAGTAGCTGGGACTACAAGCATGTGCCACTGTGCTCAGCTATTTTTTTTTTTGAGTCGGAGTCTCACTCTGTCGCCCAGACTGGAGAGCAATGTCATGCTCACGGCCACTGCAGCCTCAATTTGCTGGGCTCAGGTGATCCTTCTGCCTCAGCCTTCCAAGTAGCTGGAACCACAGGCATGCACCACCACACCTGGCTAATTTTTTGATTTATTATAGAGATGAGGTCTCATCAGTTTCCCCAGACTGGTCTAGAACCCTAGGTCTCAGGCAGTCCTCTTGCCTCCGCCTCCCAAAGTGCTGGGATTACAGGCATGAGCCACCACGCCTGGCATCCAGCTAATTTTTTTTTTTTTGAGTTGGAGTCTCAGTCTGTCACTCAGACTGGAGTGCAGTGGCATGCTCACAGCCACCGTAGCCTCAACCTGCTAGGTTCAGGTAATCCTTCCACCTTAGCCTTCTAAGTAGCTGGAACTACAGGCATGCACCACCATGCTGGGCTAACTTTTTGATTTATTGTGGAGTTGAGGTTTCACCAAGTTGCCCAGGCTAGTCTCAAATCTGTGGGCTTAAGCAGTCCTCTCACCTCAGTCTCCTAAAGTGCTGGAATTATAGGCATGAGCCACCACACCTGACCCAGCTTATTTATTTATTTATTTATTTATTTATTTATTTAGAGTTGGAGTCTCACTCCGTCACCCAGACTGGAGTGCAGTGGCTGCTCCCAACCACCGCAGCCTTAACCTGCTGGGCTCCCGTGATCCTTCCACTCAGCCTTCCAAGTAGCCGAAACTACGGGCATGTGCTACCACGCCCGGCTAATTTTTGATTTATTGTAGAGATGAGGTCTTGCCAAGTTGCCCAGGTGGGTCTCGAACCCGCGGGCTCAGGCAATCCACTCACCTCATCCTCCCAAAGCACTGGGATTACAGGCTGAGCCACCGAGCCCGGCTCCAGCTAATTTTTAAAAACAATTTTTGTAGAGATGAGGTCTTGCTATGTTGCCCAGACTCGTCTTGAAATCCTGGGCTCAAGCTATCCTCTTGTCTTGGCTTTCCAAAATGCTGAGATTACAGGCATGAGCCATTGTGCCCAGCAGTTTCATTCATTTCTAATTTGTTCTTCCAATGTTTCATCTTATATATACATATATATTTTTATTTCCCCTCCTTCCTTATGCAAAGTGTAGCACACTGCAGTTTCCTATTTTGTACTTTGCTTTATTTCTCTAAACTGTCCGTCCTGGAAACTACTCTGTATTCCCGTTTCTTTTTGCCAGACACTTATATTGTTTTCATGGTTATAAATAATGCCTCAGTAGCATTGTCATGCTTGAATGTGCAGGGATTTCTTTAGGGTCAAAGGTGGACTGGATCTACTGAATGGTGGGGTATGCTCATTCATCTGCCTTCTCATTGATGCTAGGTGGCACTCCTCATCTACTGAGGCAGATAGGCAGAAGGGCTCACTCAAGGGTTTAGCACCTAGCCCACCTCAGGCTCTTCCCTGGGCACCCACCCTGGCATTCCAATTGCCATCCTGTCCCATCTTTCTCTCCTCAGGCTCACCCCCCACCAAGCGGCAGCGGCGGAGTCGGGGCCGACCCAGTGGTGGTGCCAGACGGCGGCGGAGAGGGGGCCCAGCCAGCCCCCAGCAGCAGCAGGAGCCGGCCAGGCCTGTCTCAGAAGGCAAAGTGACCTGTGGTAGGTGTCTGTGGGCCTTAGCATGCATGTATAGTGCCCAAGGCAGGCTGTCGAGTCAGAGGATGGGAAAAATGGGTATTTGTCTAGCATATGACACACCTGGCAGATAGGCAGTAGCTCTCATTCACCCATTCAGCACAGGGTAATTCTTGTCTTTTCTGTTGCTATCTTGTCTACATCCTGCCTGTGGTTGAAGGATCAAATCATGCGCCACCTCCTTCAGTAAGCCTTACCTGACAACCTCCTGCCCCAATTGTTTATTTAGCAAACATCTGCAAGGGCTTACTTATTCAACATGCATTTCTTGTGCAGTGGTAGAATATTCCAGGAATAAAAAAACAAGGACCCTGGGTCAGGCTTCCTGATTCACATCTTAGCCTTGGCATATAAATCAGCTGCCTGACCCTGGGCAGGTGACTGAACCTCTCTGCCTCAGGTCCACCCTCTAAAATGAGGCTAATGATGGCATCTCCTAACTTGAATTGTTAGGAGAAAAAACGAGTTAACTCACGTAGTGCACTTGGAACAGGGCCTGGAGTTTGGATTTTATTCCATGAGTCAAGTGGTATCCAAGGATATTAAGCAGGGGAATGACATGATCTGATATCTCTTTTTCAAGGAACTCTGACCCCATCTGGAATACCAGCAAGTAAGTGAGTCAGGGTTTGTAAAGTGTTTAGAACAGTTTAGGACAGCTGGTCAGCTAGTATATATTCTGTTAGGTGCATGTTAAGTAGATTAAATTATGTGGAAGCAGGAAAATGAGTGAAGAGGCCATGAAGTCCAACAAAAAGGAGGGGGTGGGCTGGGCTCGGTGGCTCAGCCTGTAATCCCGCGCTTTAGGAGGCCGAAGTGAGTGGATTGCCCGAGTCTGCGGGTTTAAGACTCACATGGGCAACTTGGTGAAACCTCATCTCTACAATAAAAATAAAAGAATTAGCCGGGCGTGGTAATGTGCACCTGTAGTTCCAGTTACTTGGAAGGCTGAGGCGGAAGGATCGCCGGAGCCCAGCAGGTCGAGGCTGCGGTGGCTGGGAGTGGCCACTGCACTCCAGTCTGGGTGACAGAGTGAGACTCCAACTAAAAAAAAAAAAAAAAGGAGTGGGCAGAGGTCTGGCCTTGGGTAGTTGCATTGGAGAGGATGAGAAGGGGTGACTGAGGAAATCAGGATTTTGATATAGAGCTGACTCTAGACTGGTTTGGTTGGGTGGGTTGGGGGCTCTGCTATGGAGATTGATGCTCAGACCTCACCTTTGAGCAATCCTACCAGGTCCTGTGGGAGAATACAGCTAAGGGCACCTTTGCCATCCCTGGTCCTCTCTTCTCTGAGTTGTGCATGTTTGGGGATGCAAAAGGGATCAGATATGGTCTCTGTACTTTCAGAGCTTCCAGGCTGCAGGGGAGTCAGATGAGAGAAGTAGCAGCCAGACTGGTGTGACAGGTGCCAGAGGTAGTGTGAGCACAGGGGATCTGGGGTGTGCAGGGAACTCTCTGGCAAGCCCCAGTTTTGCTGTGGAGGTGCCACCTCCAGAACAAGCCTGAGGAAGCTGGAAGAAGAACTGGGAGGGGTGTTCCTGGCAGAGTGACCCATATATGCAGTGTCCAAAGTAGGACATGGTCAAGGGTGAGTCTGTTGGGAGCAGAGGCTTTGTGTGTGGGAGCATGGGGGAGATGAGGCTGGTAGGGACCTTGAATGTTTGAACTTTATTGCAGGGCCGGGGGTTCATTTGTTAATTTTTTTCATGTTGTATTAATGAGCATTACTCTATGCCAGGCACCGTTTCAGGTGTTAATTTGGAATTAGACCAGGTATCTGGGCCTGGTGGCTCAAGCCTGTAATCCCAGCACTTTGGGAGACTGAGGCAGGAGGATTGCTTGAACCCCAGGAGTTGGAGACCAGCCTGGGCAACATGGCAAAACGTTGTCTCTACAAAAAAATAAAATTAGCTGGGTGTGATAGTGCACACCTACTTCCAGCTACCTGAGAGGCTAAGGCGGAAGGATTGCGTGAACCCAGAAGTTTGAGACTGCCGTGAGCTGTGATCATGTCACTGCACTTCAGCCTGGGTGGCAGACTCAAAAAAAAAAGAATTGGACAAGGTGAAGAAAGTCCCTGGCCGCAAGGAATTTATGTTATGGTGGGCAGGACAGATCCCTCTCAAACATATCCTATAAAGGCAGCTAGCAATGAGTGCTCTAAAGTAACACAGTGAGAGAAGGAGACAGAGCTATGCACTCTGTCGAACCTGGACTAGCACCTTGTGCAGGGCCTGAGACTGCATGATGGAATGGGAGGAGGAAGCTGTGAGGCCACCTCAGGGGAGCAGAGGGAGCTGTTGCAGGTGCACAAGGAGGAAGGGTTCAGCTCGGGCCAGTATGGAAGCTGGTCAGAACTGAGAAGGTGCTGGTGAGATGCTGTATCTATGGGGTAAAGTACAAGCAGGAAGATGGGAGCAGCTTTGTGTCCTGGTTTCCAGGAGACCTAGGCCTGCAGGTGCTTCCTCTGCAGAGCTTTCTCCAGCCACCAAGCATACGCACCTGCCCCTGCTAGTGCCCATCATGGCCCTCCAGGCAGTGGGCTTCGCACTCACTTTATGGAAGAGGCTGCGGATACCCGTGCTGGGTGCATCAGGAAGAAGAGGCTGAAAGAGCCAGCTATGGGTCTTTAGACAGCTGCTGGCTTGAGGGGTGGCTGCCTGGTGATGACTCCTGAGTCAGGCAGTAATTCCCAGAGCCAACAGGCTGGCTGGGCCGGTGAGGGAGTCACTGCCTAAGGAAGAAAGGGAGCAGGCCAAGGGAGGCTTCAGGTCTCTTCCCTGAGGTCAGAAGGTTGTAAACCAGGGTGTGGCCGGATTTTGATGGGAGATGGGTAAGCAGGTCTGACTGCTGACTCACTAGGCAGGGTGGGGCAGTGAGGCTCTCCCCATCTAGGCCCCTGTTTAACCCTCTGAAAAATGGGGATAACTTACCTTTAGTGAGGCCAAATGCCAGAGGTGGAAGGAGACCCTCCTGATCTGATTAAAGAAGAGGCCTGCCGTTCTTGCCGCCTCCTTACCTGTGACACCTGGGGGGGTTAACCCCCAGTCAGCTGCCCACCACTAGAACTAGACTGAACTCCCGAGTGTGAGGAAAGGGAACTTGAGGATCCTGGGCTTGGACACAGGATATTTGTTTCCATGTCCCTCTCAGGTTCTGTACTGGGCATGTTTCTTGCTTGACCTTGAATTCCCAAGGCCGCTGTTGAGGTAAGGGTAACTTCTCCTATTGTGCAAAGGAGGAAGCAGGCTGAGGGAAAGGCAGTCACAAGTCTGAGTGGCAGGGGTAGAGCTAGGCTGAAACTTGGGCTTGCTCATCTGTTTATTCAGTATGTATTTATAGAATGCTTACTACATGCTAGGCACAACAGGGATGGGAAGTTCCTTCCCTCATTGAGCTTGTGTTCTGGTGAAAGGAAAAAGCCAAGAGACAGATTTCATGTGTTTTGGGTGGGTGTTCTCAGTGGAGGGGACAGCAGGAGCAGAGACCTGAGTGGGAATGTGCCAGTTGTCAGGGCTGGTGAGGAAGCTGACGAGGCAGGAGTACAGAGGAGTTAGGGGAGACTGCTAGGAGGTGAGGGCAGGAGAGGGAACCAGAGCATATTTTGCTGAGCATAGTAAGCTATGTGCCTGGACTGTAGTTGTTTTTTTTTTTGAGTTGGAGTCTCACTCTGTCACCCAGGCTGGAGTGCAGTGGCATCCTCATGGCCACCACAGCCTCGACCTGCTGGGCTCCAGCGATCCTTCTGCCTCAGCCTTCCAAGTAGCCGGAACTACAGGTGCGCACTACCACGCCCGGCTAATTTCTTTTTTGATTTATTGTAGAGATGAGGTCTCGCCAGGTTGCCCAGGCGGGTCTTGAACCCACAGGCTCAGGCAATCTACTCACCTCAGCCTCCCAAAGCACTGGGATTACAGGCTGAGCCACCAAGCCCGGCCCCTGCAACTCTTCTATGAAAAATATAATGTTAACCAGGTTGTGGTAGTTCACACCTGCAATTCCAGCACTTTGGGAAGCAGGAGGATCACTCAAGCCCAGGAGTTTGAGACCACCCAAGGCAACATAGCGAGACTTTGTCTCTACAAAAAAAATTTTGTTTAATTAGCATGGTGTGGAATGCGTGCCTGCAGGCCCAGCTATTCAAGAGGCTGAGGTGGGAGGATCACTTGAGACCAGGAGTTGGAGGCGGCAGTGAGCCATAATCATGCCACTGCACTCCAGTCTGGGTGACAGAGTGAGACACTGGCTCAAAAAAAAAAAAAAAACTTTCATAGCAGATACACTAGCATAGTGAGTCCCCAGGTCCCTATTGCCAAGTTTCAGCAGTTGTCAACTTGTGGCTGATCTTCTCAGTATCTTCAGGAATTTTGGAGTTAATTCTGGTTGCCCTGTTTCGTCTGTAGATGTTCCACTATATATCTCTAAAAGATATATAGTTCTTTAAGATGCCACAACAAAATAATTAATAACATCTTAGTATCAGATATATAATCAACGCTCCACTTTCCAGTGGTCTTATAAATACAGACTCTCCTAAGTCTCTCCTGATCTCTGGGTTTCCCCCGCCATCTCTTTTTTCCTCTTGCACTGTATTTGTTGAAAGCAGTTATCCTGTAACATTTCCCAAAGACTGAATTTTGCTGGTTACATCCTGCAGTAGGGTTGATTTAATGTATTCTGTTTATATTTCCTGAAAATTGGTAGTTGGGTCTGGAGAGGCCTGATCAGATTCTGGTTTAGTGTTTTGTTTTTTCAAGCTCACTTCTGAGGGGTGTTGGGGTCTTCCACTAGGAAGTAGTTAGTGGCTGCTTATCTTCCTCTGGAGTTGTAGGTAGCTTCTCCTCATTTCCTCAGTTCATTACTTCAGTGGAAGTTGGAGGACTTTACCTTTGACACAATGATTCTGGCTTCATTGTGGGGAAGAGACAGGTGAGGCAGGCTTGGAGGCAGGATGCTGGTGGGGT